TACTGCTGTCTCCGAGGCGTCGGTCTGCACGACGTATTTCTGGCTTGCGTTGGGGTAGGCTAGCACAGGTGCTGTAGTGGTTCCACTCCAGCATTCCCTACTTCCGAACCACTACTACTCCACACCACTCTTTTCATATACACAACATCAACCACTCTTGCACTGGCACCTATACTTGCACTTGCCTATTGTCTGTGTTCATTTATTCTTGCTGAATCAAGTCTACACCCCAATATACATCTCCTACACTTGGTCTACTACACTTGGTAGCGATATCCTTCGATCCCCACCTTGAGCACAGAGCAAGCACACACCAACTCAGCTGCAAACACGTACCTGTACTGCCTTTCACAATGTCACAGCGTCGTTCTTCTCCACGCCTGGCTTCGTCAGCATCGTCTGCGCCAGATGCCTCTGCGTCGTCGTCATCAGCGACGTCGTCTTCCGCCTACGCAGCGCTCACCCCAACTGTGGGTCCCTCATCTTCGTCGTCAGCGCCATCAGCTCCTGTCGACGCCGGTGTTCAATCTCTTGCTCGCTCGGCTCTCACCCGCATCACGGATCATGATCCTGCCGCGATCGTCTCCTGGTTCCAGACCTTCCGTACCTGCACTCAACTTCTTCGTCTTCCCTCTGGCCCTGACCAGATCCGCCTCGCGACCCTGTACTTTGACGGAGCTCTGCAACAGTGGGCACGCCATTACATTGAGGCAAACCCAGATGCGTCTTTTGATGAGTTCGAAACGGCAGCAACAACGCACTTTGCAGACCCAAGCAAGCAGTGGCGAGCATTCCAAGACATCGTCACTCACCGTCAACGTGGAGCTGTCACAGGCTACATCGCGTCTTTCCGCCGTTCACTCATCGATGCTTCTCCAGCAAAGCTCGTCGACCTGCAGATCGCCGCTTTCGTCGCCGGTCTTAGGAACGACGACACTCGCCGACATCTGAACATCAAGCGCCCAAGCACCCTGGAGGAAGCGTACAGCATCGCAACGGACTTTGAGCAGACTGTGTCGCACAACGATATACACCGCCGCAGCAACAACAACAACAACAACAACAACACTGCACAACGTTATCGCTCGTCATCCAAGCACAACCGTCACACGCAGGCACATCAGCGCAATGGACCATCACGCTCCTACAACCGCAACAGCAACAACAACGACTCACGTCATGGACGAAAGCAGTGCACCCGATGCAACAGGCAAGGGCACGTCGCCAGTGACTGTTTTGCCAAGAAGACTGCCGACGGACGTCCTCTTGTTGGCCGCGCAGACATCCAGCGCCAATCACAACTCAACGTCAAACCTGTCTTCACTGTTCCAGCATTCATCGAAGACAAAGCTGTGAAGATCCTCATTGATACAGGCGCAGAACACTCATTCGTCTCGTCACGTCTTGACGTCTCCACGAAAGAACGCAGCAAGGCCATCACCTTCACCTTCGCCAATGGCACGTCCGAAACAACACACCGTTGGACCAAGCTCACCCTCGACCTCGGCGCAACAGGCTCATACCTGGTTGATCTTCCCGTGTCCAAGTGCCCACCAGGCATCGATGTCATCCTTGGTATGGACTGGATCACCGATGTCAAGCCCACGTTCAAGTTCCTCAACGACCGACTCACGCTTGGCCCCCCAGAGCACACAGATGCCTCACCTGCACCAACAGCAGTCACACAGTCACAGCACCAGCACCAGCAGCAACAGCATCAGCAGCAGCAGCAGCAGCAGAAGCAGCAACAGCATCAACAGCAAGCACGCATTGTCACATCGACAGCAGTGAAACGCGATAACAGCACTGATGTCTCTGGTTCCGCATCAGCTTTCAATGATTGCGCACCAATTTCAGAAATCAAAGTCGTCAACTCGGCAAAGATTGACACTTACTTGGCGCAAAACGGATCCGAAGTCTTCATTGGTGCGATCGGGTCGCTGGTTCGCGACGTAAGTGCCGAGCAGAAGGACCAAATCCCAGCCCAGGTTCGCAACCTGCTACAAGAATTCGATGACGTCTTTCCCGAGGAGCTTCCGAATCGCCTTCCGCCAAGCCGACCAGAGGACGTCGACATCGTCCTCAAACCAAACGCGACTCCACCACCGTTTGTCCGGTACCGCCTGAATGCTGAAGAGCGCGCAGCCCTCAAGAGCACCATCGCCGACCTTCTCAACAGTGGACGCATCCAGCCATCCAAGTCAGCGTTCGCCGCACCCGTCATCTTCGTGCGGAAAGCCGACAAGTCTCTACGGATGTGCGTGGACGCAGGCTGAACTCCTCAACAATCGGAGACCAGTATCCACTGCCAGACATCGAGGCCATCCTCAACCGAGTTGCTGGCAACAAGTACTTCACCAAGTTGGACCTCCACTCAGGATACCACCAGCTTCGCCTCAAGCCAGAAGCTGCTCACCGCACGGCCTTCGCGTGCGACGCCGGCCACTTCGAGTTTCGCGTCCTGCCATTTGGACTCAAGAACGGCCCTGCCACCTTTCAACGTCTGATGGACCGCGTCATCAGGGACATCCCCAACACTGCAGTCTACTTGGACGATCTCATTGTCTTCACGCGCACCCTGGACGATCACGTGTGCACGCTGAGGAAACTCTTCTCGGCACTCCGCCGTGAGAAACTCGCTTGCAAGCCACGCAAGTGCGTGTTTGCAAAGCCCAGCCTTCCCTTCCTTGGACATGTCGTCTCTGCCGATGGCATCAGCCCAGACCCAAACAAGACCAAGGACATCATCTCCACTCCCAAGCCAACATCCATGAAGTCTCTCCGCGCATTCCTGGGCCTTGCAGGATACTATCGCAAGTTCATCCACGACTTTTCAACAAGAGCTGCACCACTCTACGCCATCAAGGAGATAACCGACTGGACTGCCACAGCAGCAGCCGCATTCAACGACCTCAAGACCGCACTCACCAGCCCAACAGTGCTTGCAGCGCCAGATCAACAGCAGCGATTCGTCATACGAGCAGATGCCAGCGACGTTGGCATAGGCGCCGTCTTGGAGCAGAATCAACGCCCTGTCGCTTTCATGTCGCGTGCTCTCACCGCTGCTGAACGCAACTACCCAGTGCGCCAAAAGGAGCTTCTTGCTCTTCTGGTCGCACTGCGAAAATGGCGTCACCTGTTCGGGTTCCAGCCTGTACGCATCCACACCGATCATCGCTCGTTGCTTCACCTCGCAACACAGGACAAGGTTTCTGAGCGTCGCATCCATCGTTGGCTTGACGAGCTTGCCGAGTACTCTCTCGAGTGGGAGTACACGCCTGGCCCTAACAATGTCATTGCTGACTCACTTAGTCGCATGGTCAACACTTCCCTCACCACGATTCATCCAACGCCCCTGGACACCGATTACGGTCACGACAAGGCGTACCGCAAGATCCTCAAGCGAGTGCGTCCGCCCTTCACTTGGAAAGGACCCGTTCTGTTCTTCAAACAACGCAGATGTATCACTGCCACCGACAAGCTGTTTCTCCTTCGCCTCGCCCACGACGCCCACGCCCACAGCGGAGTGGCTGCAGTCGTTGGTCGTCTCACACAGGACTACTACTGGCCACGCATGTATTCTGACATTCGCCAATACGTCACGTCTTGCCACACGTGCCTGGAGGCCAAGTCAGGTGCACCACCCAAGGCAGCCCTACATCCCCTTGCGCCGCCTGACGGTCCCTGGAGCAGCGTCAGCATGGACTTCATCACTGGTCTTCCCAAGTCCACCGACGGTTTCGATGCAGCGTTTGTGTTCGTCGATCGTTTCAGCAAGATGACGCACATCGCTCCCTGCCACACGACTACTGATGCTACTGATGCAGCGCGCATCCTGTTGTCAACAGTTGTCCGCCTGCACGGTGTGCCCTCGCAACTCGTCAGTGACCGCGATCCGCGCTTTACGTCCAGGATGTTCAAGGAGCTCATGGCCATCCTTGGTGTTCGCTTGTCCATGTCGACTGCAGGACACGCAGCCACCGACGGCCAAACCGAACGCATGAACCAAGTTATTGGCAACCTGCTTCGATGCATGTGCGCTGACCACCCAGAGACCTGGACACAAGCTCTCAACATCATTGAGTTCACCATCAACTCCAACGTGCATGGTGTCACCAAAACCACACCGTTCTCCATCGTCTACGGACGAACCCCACAACTTCACTTCACAGATGCAACGGCCACCACTGCGTCCGCCGAAGAAATCAAGGCACAGCTGCAACTTCTTCTCAAACAGACCAAAGACAACCTGTGGCACAACACGGTTGTCATGGCTAATGATGGACCGCAACACGAACACAACTTCAAACCCGGCGACAACGTCTACATCTCCACGTATCTCCTTCGCGACGACGCGACCAGACAGCAGCACGGAAAGCTCCGCCGCAAGTATCTCGGACCCTTCACCGTCGATCAAGTTCTCGGACCAACCCATCTCAAGATCAACCTCCCAGCACGTTCCCGCATTCACCCAGTCATCAACACGAAGTTCGTACGCCACGTCAAAGGACAAGTCCGCGGCGTGGACCGCCCGCCCGCGCTTGACACGGACATCTTCGCCATGGAAGCCATTCTTGGACACAAGATGACGCCCAACGGTCCGTTGTTCTTGACCAAGTGGCTTGGATACCCGTCCCATGACAGCACCTGGGAGCCTGCCAAGAACTTCATTGGCAAGGACGCCAAGCGCCTCCTGCGTCAATATAGAAAGAAGGGGAGAGTGTAGTGGTTCCACTCCAGCATTCCCTACTTCCGAACCACTACTACTCCACACCACTCTTTTCATATACACAACATCAACCACTCTTGCACTGGCACCTATACTTGCACTTGCCTATTGTCTGTGTTCATTTATTCTTGCTGAATCAAGTCTACACCCCAATATACATCTCCTACACTTGGTCTACTACACTTGGTAGCGATATCCTTCGATCCCCACCTTGAGCACAGAGCAAGCACACACCAACTCAGCTGCAAACACGTACCTGTACTGCCTTTCACAATGTCACAGCGTCGTTCTTCTCCACGCCTGGCTTCGTCAGCATCGTCTGCGCCAGATGCCTCTGCGT